TGGGAAGAGCAGAGCATATAGCGGGAATTTAGAAAAGAGTAATAGCCTTTGCGAGCAAAGTCCCAGTTCTTCTGGAGGCTGAGGCAGGAAGATTGCTTGAGTCCAGGAGTTCAAGGCCAGCTTTGGCAAATGTAAGGAAACCTCCTGTCAAAACAATAGAAATAAGCTGGATGCAGTAGCCTACACTTGGAATCCCAGCGACTGGAGAAGCTGAGGTAGGAGGATCATAAATTCGAGGTCAGTCTGGGCAACTTTAGAGACTCTGTCTCAAAATAAAAATAAAAAGGGCTGGGGGGGGTTGTGGCTCAGTGTTAAAACGCTTGCCTAGCATGTGTGAGGCACTGGGTTCTATCCTTGGCACCACATAAAATAAATAAATAAATAAACAAATAATAATAATAATAATAATAATAATAATAATAATAATAATAAGTATTGTGTCAAACTGCAACTAAAAATGGGAGACGCTGGGGAATTAGTTCAGTGGTAAAGCGCCCCTGGGTTCAATCCCCAGTATCTCCTCTTAATAGAAATGAAGACTAGAGTAGGGGAAAAACAAGGACATCTTTAAAATGAGGAGAGGATGGGGCAGACTCAGCGGTAGGGTGCAAGAGCTAGCCCATGGTTTCAGTTCCCTGGGGTGGGAGTGGGGGAAATATGGAGGGAAAGCAGAGCAATGAAAGCTAATCTTCTCTGTAGGGAGCAGGGAGCAAGGAAACCATAGGAGCAGGAGGAGCCAGGGCTAAAACTTTGGAAAGAGAAGAAGTAAAGCAGGAATGGAGAACCTTAGAAATGGGTAAGGGCTAGTGTTAGGGCCCAATGGTAGAGTACTTGCCAAGAGCATAGGGTCCTGGCTTCAACCCCCAGAACAGCAAAAAGAAGAAGAAATGAAGGGGAGGGAGCCACCAAGGGTGGAACTTAAAAATAAAAGACCTAGGAGGGTTGCCCTTATAAGTGGGGAGTCCATTTTGAGTTAATTCTTCTGAATGATGTGAAATAGGATCTAACCTCATCTTTTTGCATGTGAATATCTAGTTGTC